TATGTATTTTTAAAAATATATTTCTCTATTGATTTCAGAGTAAGGGAGAGGGAGAGATAGAAACATCAATGATGAGAGAGGATCATTGATTGGATCGCTCCTGCACTGGGGATCGAGCCCACAACCTGGGCATGTGCCCTTGGCTGGAATCGAACCCGGGACCCTTCAGTCCGCAGGCTGATGCTCTATCCACTGAGCCAAACCAGCTAGGGCTTATATGTATTTTTTAAAAGGTGTGTTGAACGGTTGCCTTACTTTTAGCAGATGACTTGGAGAATGTATATACAAGCCAAGTATGGTCAAGTATTTGTCACAAATATACTTCAGTCTCAGATTTTGTCTGTTATCTGAGTCTTCCATTGTACTTTGAAAGAATCCTGTAGTATTCTAATAATTTAATCTTCCAAAACAAAATGTACAATTCATCATTATACATTAATTTTTTAACATTAGAAAGATAGTATGTTTGTTGGGCCACAAGGTGATTTCATGCGAAAAGTTTCAAATTATGTGGCCCACTTGTGGTGGTCAGATGAAGACATAAAATACTATCTCCCTTTTATTTTGGGATTCATTTGCACTGGTCGTTTTAATTCAGATCATAGATGTAAGAAGGGGAATAGCATGCCCTTCTCACTTCAATATGTAGGAGCACACCGTGTCGACTCAGTGTTTAAATAGCTAGGTTCTCACTCACGGGCCTGGGAGCTGGGAAAGGTGACCATGCTACCAACAATAATGTTATTTTTATTTGAATAAGCCCTGTCTGGGGGACTTACTATAGAACCTGAGGACAAGGGTGAGCAGATTATCTCTGGCATATAAATCGTTCAGGTTTTTCTAAAACGTGACAGGACACTTGTCGCAGTGTATATTGACCTGTGATTTCGTTGGATCCTGTTTGTAACCAGTGAGGAGAGTCACACAAGTGGGTGCAAAGAAAGAGGTCCTCCTACAAGCGCTGTGACACCCAGGCTGGCAGGAGTCACTGTGGCTGCCGGAGTCACTGGTTTGTGGAGATAAGACATGGGAGATGTGTCCGACGTGATTGGCTCATGGGAAAGTTGAAGTACTAGCACCTGAGAATGAATTATTTTAACGTTCGTTTGTTTGCTTGCTTATTTTTAAATTTCACCCATCGACCTCCCCTTTGGCAACCATCAGCTCATTCTCCATATTTATGGGTCGGTTTCTATATTTTATTTCACATATAAGTGAAATCATTCAGTATTTGTCTTGGACCTATTTCACTTAGCATATACTCTCCAGGTCCATCAAAGTTGTCACAGAGGACAGAATTTCTCTCTTTTTTATTGCTGAGTAATATTCCATTGTGTTTATATTGCCACATCTTCTTTATCCATTCATCTATCGATGGACAGAATAAGTAAATAATAAATGATATAATAAATAAATAGGAGTTATATTCATTACAGAAAATTAGGGGCCCACTCAACCACATTCTTACATGTTTTCTAGGGAGAGAAGAAAGAGATGGCATTTGAGCTAATTTGCTGGGAAGCTTGTTCAGAATGCATCCAGGGTATCGAAGTGTCACAGGAGCTAGCTGTCTCTGGGCAGACTGCACTTTGCCCCCAGGAACAATTAGGGGAGACCACAAGCCTGGTGGTGTTAATAGCATCAGTTTGCCTTTGGGGTTCCAGTCTCCCTTATGTGTCTGTTCCCCCCTTTCTCCTTCCCAGTGTCATGTCTGACTCTCAGTGATGAGTGATTGTGGATTAACTGATACATTAGGAGTGAAGGCTCTGGGTTCAGACTTAATGCATCAGATACTGTCTCTGCCTCTTAGGCAACTGACTTAATTTCTTAGATGCTTCATCTGTAAAACAGGGATAATATTAGTATTTACCTTTATGGGGTTATTGAGAGGATCAGATGACTTATTGACCCATATAAAGGGCTTGGAATTCCATCAGACACACTCAGTATGTGTTAGCTATTATTATACTATCTGACCCTATTTGATTAAAAAATTTTAATCTCTCCGTAACTTATATGTAGAGGGAATAGACACTGCACTGGTTGAATGAGTGAATAATGATGTGCATGTTATCTTTAGAATTGTTGATTAGTAATGTTAAATGGATCTTTGTGATTCGTTTCCAAGATAAGGCCAATGAAATTAAATCCACACAAGATCCTCCCACCTCATTTCAAACATGCTCTTTAATCTTCTTTCCTAATAAGCCATTTTCTTTCCTGGGATTCAAGGAAAAGACTATGCTCTACACCATGAGAAACGACATGCAACACACACACTTAAATGAAACAAGCATTTTATGAAACAATAGTTACACTAAGGGTGATGAACTCTTGCTTTCTATCTAGTCTATTCTGCTTCATTTTTGTAAAAATGCTGCTTGCAATGCATGGAATTCATTTTACAGCTCGTTAATGGCTCATCCTGAGGTTTGAAAAACACTGCATTAGGTCACTTAGACTTGTCCACAAGCAAAGGGTGGATGGGGGGATACCTTTGATTATAACCAATATTCCTCCCCTTTCTTTTCAGTCTCTTTCTTAACTGATAGTAGGGCTGGAATTCACTAGCTTTACACACACACACACACACACACACATTTTATTGCCACCGATCTGTTCAGTGAAGCCAGAGTTTGTGTTTTCATTTTAAAGGCCTTTCCATGTCACTGTAACTTGAGGTTCACTTTCAGCACAATTGGGGACATTAAAAATGCAAAAAAGACCTATCACTGTAAGATTGGGTCCAGTAATCATTTCCAGATGAGGTATGGTAATAGTAACAGGTTTTTTAGACTGTGATACCTAATTCCTACTGTCCCCGCCCCTCCCCAGTTACATAAGGAACTGAGTGCCATGCAGAAAAATGATGTATTGTTAGGACGGGGCTCTGGAGAACCCGGGCTTTGGCCTGAGCCGTCAGTGGGCTGTGGTCCGCCCCTCCTTTGGCCGCACCCTGTGTTTGGGAGCTGACTGCTCAGAGCTGTTCGTGCTCTGTGACTGTGATGCTCATTGAACACACACCACTGTCCCGTGCTGACTCCTGACTGTTCTCACTGAGTCACCAGCCAGACGGATAACAGCTCCTTAGAAAGATCACCAGCCAGATTCTTACCAAGTTCACCACACAAGGCCTTCCCGGGTTATAAACCCCTGCTTTGCACTCATTCGTCACACAGGTGACTAGCCACACATTGCCTGGGCCAGCCGCCCATCCCCAGCTCCACACAGCGTGCAGCCTGCCCTGGCTCAGTGGATGTCTAATGCAACACCTTTTCCCTCTCACGTGGAATGCTGAATATTGCATTCTCTTCGTTTCCTCTTTACTTTCCAGGTCATAGTCTGTCAATTGCATACATATGTTTATGTCGTATTTCTTCTATATTTCATGTAAATCTCTTTCTTAGCTTTTTTCTCTCTTCTCTCTGTTTAATTTTGGAGAGCCCCCAATGATATTACTCAGAGCTCATAAACTCATTATCAGGAGAAAAGAACACTATATGGGGAGGT